CTGAGCTAAATCCCTGGCCCGAGTTGATACTCTTAAGTGAAATAAATAGGACACATGTGTAAATACTGAATAGTTTCTCTAGTGTGAGAAACTGAGAGTGTCAAAAAGGACTAAAAGGTATAATAGATAATGTGAAATAGGAAGAAAAGGTGCCAAGGGGAAGGGGAAGTGGGAGGGGTAGGAAAAAGGAAAGAAGGGAATGGCATTAATATGAGGAAATGAAAAAATGGAAACAGAGTCTTTGTAAATAGGGAGGGATGGTGGGGTTGAAGGGAGGGCAGGGGAATGGGGAAAAATAAGAACCAAGAGAGATTATGTAAAGGTGCAAATTTCCAATGATGTATGTCGTTATATTGTATACCTAAAATGTAACAATAAAATTAATTTAAAAAAAATAAAAGATGGGTTATTTGCCTTATTATTGTTACAATAATTACTTATGCAGTCTGGATACAAGTCCTTTGTCAGATGTTTGTGTTATGAATAGTATTGTCTGAGTGGATCACCTCTTCATTTTCACAACGGTATTTGGGGAGAGATTTTTAAAATTTTGAAGTCTCATTTATCAATTTTTAATGATAGCTTAATATTCAAAATATAGAGAAACCAAAATTAGAAATAAATGCTTTCTTCACCAACTCATGATTAACATTTATATTGATTCTTTTTATTATTTTACTTGTCACTAGGAGCATCATTGTCCTTTACCTTCTAATACAGAAGGATGCAAACACATGTAAGGCTTTGCTATGGTCCCTGAAACTGCTTTCCTAAAGGGGACCTCGTACCCTGTAAATGAAGTTATGAAGTTCGGATTCAAGGAACCAGCCAGTCCTCTTGCATGCCCTATAACGTGTTAATTTGTTTATAGATTAATGAAGCTTTAGAAATGCTTAAAAGCCAGCTGGGTATGGTGCAGCATGCCTGTCATTCCAGCACTCTGAGAGGCTGAGGAAAAGAGAATCGAAAGTTTGAGCCCAGCCTGGGCAACTTAGTGACTTAGAAAGACCCTGTCTCAAACTAAAAATTAGAAAAGAAGGTCTGAGGATGTAGCTCAGTGTGAAGGCCCTGAGTTCAATCCACAGTACCACCATAAGCAGATAACAACAAAAAGCTTAAGAGCATACTGTGCAATCTTGTGCTTGCACTGGATTAATAAATCATGTTGCGGGGTAGATAATACAAAGACAATTAGAGTAGAATTTCAGGGGGTGTTTCTGAAGGCTAGACTCTTACTTCTATAGGAACCAAGCAGTGATTTATTGAAGCAGTACTGGGCAAAAGGCTATTTGCTTTCCTACACCTCTATTTGCCCATCCTTAAAGCTGGTAAGGGTCAGCTTACTGTGTCTAACTAGCAATGTGGGCCACATACCAGGTTAATTGAAAGACTGAATGTCACAATAATAGTTACCATTTACTAAAGTACACTCAGCCCAGGGCCAGGGGCTGCTTAGATTACCTCTAATCCTCAGCAACTGCTGGTCCTACTGAGTACTGTTGCTTCATTTAAAAGGAGCAGATAGGACTGGGGATGTAGCTCAGTGATTCTGCTGCCTGCCTCACAAGCACAAGGTCCTGAGTTCAATCCCCAATACCAAATAAATAAATAAAAGGAGCGGATAACAACTGGTCCAGGGCCACAGGGCTAATACAGATGGATCCAGAATCTTCTAGCCTAAAGCCTGAGCTATTGCTGTTTTTGTTTTTAATCTACTACCCTTTAGCCACACCTTTTAGAAGTAAGATGTCAGGCTTTGGCTTTGGAAATGGTCCCTAGAAAATTTACTATAATTATTTTTGTATTATCTACCCTGCCCCAAATAGATTACTAAACAAAGTGCCTCTCAGAGGTCAGCAAAGATTTCAAGACATGGAGGGGAAACACAAGCAAGCTGTCATTTGGAAACATTTCTTTTTTGCTCTTGAACACTTCATTTAGTGGTGGAAAAGGAAATAACTAGTTCATTTATTGCCAGAAGCCTTGTTAATATGCTGGAGCTAGTTGATCAACTGGTCACTGGTCCATTCCATAGCTTCTTCCTGCAGGGCTGGTAAAATTGGACACAACATCTGGGTAGTAGGTTTGGAAGCCTTTGAGTGTGGAGTGAGGAAGAGGTCCTTTCTGAGGGTTGTCTGGAAGGTTGCCCTCCCTTCTCTGCGTGGATTACCTCATGGGAACTGGACATGCTGTGGAAAGAGGCACAGATGTCAGTGTTCAGCAACAACCTGAACATAGAATGAACTGCATGTTCTCAGTCTCTTACTTGAGTTTCTTCTCAGCTCCTAAACCCCTAACCTACTATCAAGCAGTTTTCCATCACTGTGACAAAATACCTGAGAAAATCAGCTTAAAGAAGAAGAGGTCTGTTTTGGCTCATGGTTTCAGTCCTTGATCAATTGGATGGTAGCCAGGCAAAGCACTGTAGTGGAAAAAGTGTGGTAGAGAAGCTGCTCACCTCATGGTAGCTGGAAAGCAGAGAAGGGGGAGAGAGATAGAGAGATAGAGATAGAGATATAGATAGATAGAGAGAGAGAGAGAGAGAGAGAGAGAGAGAGAGATTATATAACAAGGCCCCTTCCCCAAAACCTATTAAGCAATGAAGCCACAAATGAATTAATCTACTTATGAGATCAGAGCCCTTGTGACGCTAACACCTCCAAGGCTCCCTCTCTGAATGCTGCTGTATTAGGGGCCAAGTCTTTAATGATAGCCTTTGGAGGAACATTTAAGATCCAAACCATAGCACCAGGTATTTATGTGTCTCCATTTGCTCATGGTCCTGGTTTATGTCTACTTCCCAGGTATATTTTTTTCCATTTCACATAAAATTGTCCCACTTTGGATAACCCATACTAATGCATATGGGCCAGTTGGAGGCACTCAGGAAAGACTAACCTGGAGATACCTGTAGAACTAGGACTGCATTAAGGTTGTCACCCAAAAGAACATTATTATGATGATGCCACAATAGTCATGTTTCTCTTGATTACAAGTGATCTCAAACTGAATTTAGCAAAAAAAAAAAAAAAAAAGTACTGGCTCATGTAACTGGATAGTTGAAGAAGAGAGTGGGCAGGATTCAAGCATGACTGGACCGAATTCTCAAGCCATGTCCTTCATTCTATCTCTCTGTCTCTGCTTCTCATTCTGTCTCCATCTCTCCACTCTTGTTGACCTCAGCTTCGAGGCTGATGGTTCACATGGTAGGCACACTAGCCTCTGGCAGCTCTAGACTTCCATCCTCCCAACTTTGCAAGTCCAGTGGCAAGAGGAACTTCTGGGTCTTCCATGGATAGATTAGCCCAAAGAAGACACTTACTGGCTCTGCTTGGGTCATTACTTGGTCTACTTGAGCCATTACTTGGTCTACTTGAGCCCAGGAGCAAGGGATAAGGTTTCATCAAACTGCACCATCGTAGCCCATTTTGTGTTGTTGTAACTGCGTACCTGGTGCTTAGTAATTTAAAATGAAAAGAAGTTTTAGAGGCTAAAAGTCCAAGATTGGGCAGCCTCATCTGATTGGCCTCTGATAAGGCCTTCCAGGCTCCATTACAGCATAACAGAGAAGTGGAAACAGAAACAGCCACAAGAGAGGGGGGCAAACATATGAAACGGCCTTACTTTATAACAATCTGCTCTCGTGAGAACTAATCTGGTCCTGTGAGAACTATACTAACTCCTTCCAAAGGCAGTGCCCCCAGACCTAACCACCTTTCTGTAGGCTTCATCTTTTACAGATCCACCACTTCTGAAATGCTATGTTGGGCACCAATCTTCCAGCACATAATCCTTTGGGGGACACTCAAACCATATCCAAACCATAGCACATTCACAACAAGGAAGGACTGGCAAAGAGAGCAGGACAATTAGCAAGGATGACCCGATTTATAACATCTACTACCTATTATATGTAATTCTCATTTACAGTGTTAATGCCACTATTCCAAGGGCTTGATAGATATATATTATTCATTACTTACCCAGGATAATTTGCCCCCAGGTTATAGATGAGATTTAAACAGTTTATGTAACATATCTGAGGAAGGGAAAATGGCAAATAAGAGCTGATTTGTGACCCTAGGTCTGTCTGCCATTTCCACAATATCATGGAATTTAAGAGTGGTGGTATTTTATACTTTAAAGGGTCAAGGGTATTTGAGTTAGGGAGCCCTTCTTGGATACCATATCACACTTATGAATTAGTTCTATTTGTAGGTTCTCCTGGATCCTAGCCAAGGGCTGAAGCTTGCTGTCCCAGGAAAGATGTACAAGCCTGGTCTATTCTAGACCCTGGAGGTGACTTGTGTGCTGACTAGTCTCAGCACAGGACCTACAAGCCAAGTGCCTTTGGTAAAGCCATCTTCTGTCAAACAGGCGACATCCAAAAGGGTAAAAATAACCGCAGCAGCAGCAGGAACAGCAGCATCAACAACAACCACCTTATTTCGTAAGATAGAATGAACATTCAGATGCTGTTGGTGATACTGGTAGCTCAGTGCCTCTTCCTCAAATCTTCAATCATAAAAGGAAACATAGTGGAATGTGGTTTTCTCTCCAAGGAAAAAGAGGACTGCCCTTGGCTTGCCTGTGTTCCTTGTGGCTTAAAAATATCATTTCCCAAACAACCAGACACCAATGCACTTCTGTTAGAGTGGCCCAAATCCTGGACACTGTCAACACTAAGTGTAGCAAGGATGTGGATGGAGCAATGGAAACTTCATTCACTGCTGGTGGCGATGCAAAATGATTCTGCCACTCTGGAAGCCAGGCAGCTCCTGATCACACTAAACACACTCTAACCATTCAATTGCACTCCTCATAATTTATCCAAAGGATTCTGAAACTTATATCCACACAATACCTGCACATGAATGTTTACAACAGCTTTATTCATAATTGTCCAAACTTAGAGACAGCCAAGCTGTCCTTCAATAGGTGAGTGGATAAAATACGGTAAGTCCAGACAATGGAATATTACTTGGTGCCAAAAGGAAATGAGCTCTTGAGGCATGAAAAGACACAGAGGAAATTTAATGTATATTACTAAGCAAAAGAAGCCAATCTGAAAAGTTTACACACTGTGTAATTACAACTATATGGTGTTCTGGTATCTTTGACTTTTTTTTTTTTGTACCAGGGATCGAACTCAGGACCTTGTGCTTTTGAGGCAGGTGGCAGAACCACTGAGCTAAATCTCTGGCCAACTATGTGGTGTTCTGGAAGAGGCAAAAGGACAGAGAGGGTAAAAGGTCTGTGCTTTACAGGGCTTGCAGTGGAGGGCCAATGAATAGCTGAAGCACAAGTGAGTTTTAGGGCAGTGAGCCACTCTGGGATATTCTGATGGTAAAGATGTCATTAGACATTTGTCCAAGCCTGTGGATATACATTACCAAGGGTGAACACGGGCTTTGGGGAATGATGACACATCAATGTAGGTTCAGCACTTGTAATAAATATGCTATTCTGGTGTGAGATGTTGACTGGGGGAGGCTATGCACGTGGGAGGGCTGCAGGTGTACTGGAAATCTCTGTACCTTCTGCCAATTTTGTTGTGAACCTAAAACTTCTAAAAAATGAAATTTATTAAAAACAAATAAGCAAGCTGGGCATGGTGGTACCTGCCCATAATCCCAGTGCTTGGGAGGCTGAGGCAGGAGGATTGCTGTGAGTTCGAGGCCAGCCCTGGGCTATACAGGAGGATTGCTGCAAGTTTGAGGCCAGCCCTGGGCTATATAGTGAGTTCACAGCCAGCCTAAACTACAAAGCAAGACCTTGTTTCAAAAAAACAAAACCAACCAAACAAAAAACAAATCAGCAAGCAGATAAACATTGTTTCTTCAGTTCTCGAATTCAGACACACAGCACACATGCTTAGACTCTGAGTTTTCTTTTTCTATTCTGCCAATTGTGGTTTCTCAACTCTTGTCCTAGGAGACAGTTTCCCCATTTCATTTTGTATTTTTAATAGCATCTTTATCTGATGACAAAAACAGGACATGTGTAAAATTGGGAAAATAAAAAGGAACCAGAAAAAAAACAAGCCAAACCAAACCACTGCCAACTGCTCTCCTCAGAGATACCAATTACATGTTGGCAAGCCCTATACCCCATACAGTTTAATACCCAGCATTATTCTATGGCCACCATATTTCTCTAGCACCAAAAACTTCAAAAGCATTTCATGTATGGCCATGCCACAGTTTAGCTAATCACACAGTTCCTAGCCTTGAGATTGTGGGGTTAAACAGTGTAGATATTTTGCTGATTCCTGTTCAAATATGCATAACCGCTTTGTAGAAATTTTGCATCTGTTTACACTATCAGAAGCAGTATGCTAAGAGTTTCTAGCTCTTTGGTTTTCCTAAATAATGTAATTTAAAAAAGTATTTGTGGATGAAAGTGGAGACTGGAATGGTATCTCATTCATTTAATGGTAAAGAATGAATTCTGAACATCCACTTTTGTAAATTGTCCATTTGTTCTATTGCCTATTTATTTATATATTAGGATCTTAATTGTTTATGAACTTAAGAATATTTTCCCTTTATTTACACTTTAATTTTTAAAATATCAAACTTCAAAATGGAAAGATCTTTTCTCCTTGATAATGAAGATAATAGGCTATCCCAGTTAAATGAAAATAACATACTATAGAATATTTAGAATAGAATATTCCAATCTTCTAGCTTATCTTTTGGATTTGTACTAACATTCTTGAAGCATTTCCTTCCAAATTTTTATCCTATGTGTTGACTGTATTTTTTTGAAGTTTATAATTTTTATGTACTTCAAAACTACCATTTTATAAATATCACATGGTTTCTCTTATATGAGAAACTAAAAAAAAGTGCATGGAGAGAGAGCAAAATAGAAGATAAAGAGGAAGTAGGGAGATCTTTTTCAAAAGAACAAGGGAACAAGAGATGGAGGGAGGGGGAGAGAGGGTATGGAAAGGGGTTAAAAAAATTGAAGGGAAAAATTATGAAAATAGAGCTTCTGCACATGAGGAGACCAAGAATTGGAAGGAGTAGGAAGGGAAGGAAAGGGTAGGGGATGAAAAAACAAAACAAAACAAAACACAGACACACACACACACGCACACAAGAGAGAAAAAAGAATTAAGATGTGTTACTTGTATGTACCAACTCCTCATGCTAATTCTAATTAGTACTGCAAACATACTACTAAAAAAACCCCTATGATTTTATTTTATTTTTTGAGGTTTTTTGAGACACGGTCTCACTTTGTAGTTCAGGTTGGCCCTGAACTCACTAGGTAGCCTAGGCTGGCCTTGAACCCATGGCAATCCTTCTGCCTCAGCCTCCCAAGTGCTGGAATTACAGGCCTGGCTCAGATTTTAAAATGTCAATATATCTTTCCGGCCTTTTTGTTTGAAAGGCCTTTCTAACCTAGAGATCAGATAAAAAACACTTTCTTTAAAAATAGATCTGTGTCTTTTTTTAATGAAGGCAGGGTGTTACATTATTAGGACACCAGGCTACAATGCCTCGCACATCTACTTCCTTTCTTGGCTCTTCATTCTTTTGAGTCTTTGATTCTAATACCTGTATTTATTCTGCTGTGGTTCTACAGACAGTGCATGTACAATTTCCTATCGTCCCCTCTTCATTCATAATTATGCTGCAAGCATTATTTTCATTTTGCTCCACAGAATGGTTGTTCCTGATGATTCCTTAACAGGCCCTCTGGTTGCTGCGCTGTCACAGCTGACCATATCCTGCTGATGAACATTTCAATTGCTTCCAAATTTCCTGTCAAGTGATATTTGAAGCAGTGAAGTCCAGAGAAGAAGCAGTGCCTGCTGCTCCCTGGGGGCTGACTGTAATAGGATTTGACTTCTCATTTCCTCCTTTCCTCAGAGGAGAGTTGGAAGCGTTCGCTTTGAGAGCATGGTTGACAATCATAAGACTAGGAGAATAAAACAGTGGGGTGAAAGCATGCTGAGCTTTCAGGGGAAGCCAGGCTGCTTAGGATTGGATGTGGGGATGAACGAATTAATTCACACAGTGTTTGGTGCTTTTGAGGGCTAGATCTTTGGTTGTTGTCTGCTATCCATCTGACTTTCACCAGCAACACAGCTGGTGAGCCCCAGTCTGCCCTTCTACGGAATAGAGGTAATGATGGGCTGAAGGAAGGTCTGGGGGGAAGAACCAGGAGTAGCCAAAGAGCATGAGGGAGGCCCTCTTGCAGGAGAGAGACAGGGCCTGTGTGATCCCTCCATTCCTGGGCCTCAGTTTCTCTGTTTGTACGAGGGACTTGAATTGCTGCCTGCAGGACCCCATCCCTGGTCCTTGTGGCTCCTTTGACTGCTGTGAGACACGCAGGTATCGCCCCCGACTCTTGTCCATAAGGAGACATATCTGGGCCTTCTCAGCAGCACTCATCACTGTTTGACAGTCTCCCAGTTCCCCAACACTTCCAGGCAGGACTGTCCTAGCGCTCTTCATAGCCCCTGACTTGTTTTGGGGGACACTGGGTGTGGGTACCAGCAGACTGTACACATTTATTACAGTAGGGCCTCTGGATCTGTGGATTCCACATTCCAGGATCAGAAATATTCAGGGGGAAAAACTGCTCTGTACCGAACATGAACGAATTTTTTTCTTGTTATTATTCCCTAAACAATACAAGTATTTATAAAGCATTTCATGTATTATTGCAAGTAATCTAGAGATGATTTACAGTACATGAAAGATATGTGTAGCTTATATGCAAAACCTGTGTCACTGTACGTAAGACTTGAACATCCACAATTTTGGTATCCCCTCGGGCCCGGGAAACCGGAATGACTGTCATTTACAATGTGTCATTAACGTGTCATTCATGTGTTGGCAAAGCTGGTGAAGAATTACCTTATCTCCACCAATAATGATTCCGAGCCATTTCTTGCAGGAATTAGGAAACAACCCGGTGCACAGTGATGCAGGGCCTGGGATGTGGTCAGAAATTTTTCGCCAAGACTCCTGGTGTCTCCTTTGTAAAAGGAGAGTAACACCTACCTCAGGGGGCTGTCCGGAGGCTGATGAGGCACCGTCTGTCAAATTGCAGCACAGTGCCAGGCACACGGCACACGGCACAATGTTGGGTCGTTGATATAATTATTACTGGCAAAGTGGAACGAAGGAGCGCTTAACTGGCAGAAGGCTGGGCAGGCAGGAAAGACGTGGCGATCTCCCCAGGCGCCCGGGGACACGAGGACCGCGAAGGGAGGAGGGGGATCCCTGGGCCCGGGGGTGGGGAGCCCGGGAAGAGTCGGGCGCCCGGCCGCGCTCTCTCACACGGTGGGCTGCGCATTATCTGTGACTTTTCAAAGCACCCCTTCCTCCACCTGGCCTCCTTTCCTGCGCTGCAGGAGGAGCCTGCTTAGGAGGAAGACCCAGGCGTCAGGACTGGGGCGGTGTCGGACTCCAGACTGTCGAGTTAGTCCCCGCCCCGGGGCGGTGTCGCCGGAGCGTTGGGGGGAGTCCCCTGCGCCGCAGCCCCAAGCGTGCCGCTCCTCCTCTCAGGCTGCACGGCTCCAGCGCCGGGGCCCGGAGTGGCTCTTTAAAAGGCAGGTTCTGCTCCGCAGGGGGCGGGCAGGGGGCGCTGACCCCGCTGGAGGCCCGGCCCCCGCCCAGCGCCTCCCCGCCCAGTGTCCCCGCGTCGCTCCCGGCGGGCTGGGCGCACGCTCCGCCCCGCAGTCGCCGGGCAGTCCAGAGCGTGGCGTGGAGCGCAGTTGGAGCGGGACACGACCGGGGCTGGGGGCTGGGAGCGCGGCGCGCTCAGCCTCCCCGCCCAAGACCCGCGCCCGCCTCCGGGCGAGGCCGGCGTCGCGATGGCAGAGATAGGTAGCAAGGGGGTGACGGCGGGGAAGATCGCCAGCAATGTGCAGAAGAAGCTGACCCGCGCGCAGGAGAAGGTGAGCCAGCCGGAACCCCGGCCACCTGTCCCTCTGTTCCCAGGATCAGGCTGCCACCTCGGGGCGCCCACTGCCCAGGGTCCCTAGGCTGCGGCTCCCGCGCTCTTGGCGTCCCTTTCGGTTCGTGTTCCCCGGCTCCGCATGTGGGTCGGGGCCGCGGGCGCAGCTGTACTCCCCACCCCGCCCCGCCGCCTTGCACCTTCGTGGCTGCCCTGCAGGGAAAGGGCGGCCCGCGCTCTCGGCTCCTCTAGCCCTAACCCCACCCTGGAGGCCCAGGACCGGGAGTCTGGGAGGACAGGTGGCGACCCCAGCTCTCCAGGCCCCGGGCGACAGTCGGGCGGGTCCCGCGCTGGGAAGGTGGGAGCTCACCTCCCTGCCCCGGTGTCGCCCAGCGCCTGCGACTCCCGGTGCTGCTTCTCTCCTTCCCAACGCCTTTCCACCTTTATTCCCCGCAGGCCGAAGGAGGGATCGGGTTTCCTTTCCCGAGAGGTGCCCGCGGCCTGGGAGCTCCTGCCTGGCGCCGCGGCGTCAGAAGGCTGCGTACGCCTAGAGAAGGTGCCCTCGCCCGAGCGGGGGCCTCGCATTTCCGGCCGCTGGGGAGGGGGTGGCGGCCGGCCGGGTGGGGGGCGAGCCTAGAGGAGGGGCGTGGGTGGCGCCGCAGGAAATCCGACCCTTCCTCGCTGGGAGTAATTCCAGGCTGCCGCAGGGCACCCAGACTGTGCAGGAAATGCAGGGATTGGGGGGCGGGGGTCCTCGCCCCGTCGGCTTTTTAACCCTAGCCATCTCTGGTTGATTGATTGGATCACGCCAGCTGCTGCTGACGCCACTTCCCTTGCTGATTCCTACTCTGAAATCTGAGATTGCAGAATCCGTGTTTCTGCTAGGGTAGTGCCCCCAGTGTCTTGTGGTGGGACCGGGTGGGGACCTGGGGACAAGCCGGCCTTCCCCTGCCGGCCTTATGGCAGTTTATAAACAATGACTTTTGCAGCTGAGATCTCGGGCTTCCTAAGGATGCAGCCACGTGATGGGGGTGGGGAGGGCTTTCCCTGCGACTCCTGTAACCCTACTGCTCATCCTCGTGTTCCTGGCTAGGGAGGTGGGTGTGTGTGGAGTGAAGGCTCTCTGCCAAGCGCCAGATCTGGCCAGAGCTGCCCCCCCCCCAGCGGGAGGAGGGAGTAGAGCCCCAGGAATAGCTGGCTGGGGGCTGGGGAGACTTCAATCGCTCAGTTAGAGGGGTAGCAACGGTTTCGTCCACCCTTGCTCTCCTTCCTTCCCCCGTGGCTGGGTAATCCATCTAGGTTCCTGGAGCAGGCAGCTCCGACTGGAGCCTGCATTCTGCTCCCAAGGGGCTGCAGAGGAAATGCAGGGCCACTGAGACAACCCCCCACCCCCACCCCAGTCCTGATTTCTCCCTGCCTCCCCATTGCTCCTCCTGTGTCCCCATTGCCCTGGTTGTATTTTCCCGAAGCAGCATCTTTGACATTATTCTAGGGGCAGCAGGCATGGGTTGTGTCTCCTTCCTATGAGTGGCCATGTGTCACTGGCTTTTGTTCTGTGGCCTTGGGCAGTTGGCTGACAGCTGGTGGGCTATGAATGCTGGCCCTGCTCGAGCTTGGGACTGCAGTTGCTTAGTGCCACAGCTGCTCTCTGCCCCATGGGTACTAGTTAGGGACCCTCTCCCACCGGAAGCCAAGGCAACATACGTTGGGCATCCTGCCTGTCTCTGAAAGTAACCTTCCATCTCTTCCATTCTTGGGTGGCTGTAGGCCTTGCTTCCAGGAAGTCCCTGCTCCCAGGAAGCCCCAAGCCTCAACCCATGCCGACCTCTTCTGTGTGCCTTCTACCACTCAGAATCTGGATTTGTCACATCCTGGATGCTGCCAACTGGGCTGCTTTCTCCGCATCTTCTGGTGATGTTCAGGACCTAACTCCTTTGCTGATGGGACCTCAGTCCTAGTGTGGTACAAGCAGCCCTGCCGCTGTACCCACCCTGCCTTAGTCAAATCAGTGGATATGAGAGCAACTGCTGTTTCCCTATGGTCATGGGAGGGTATTTTCTGACCAAGAACAACAGGAGCTATGGTGGAAGGGCCCCCACTGCTCATCTTTTCTTCTCCTCTGATCTTCTACATCCCCTCTCATTGCAGACATCCACCAAGACTGAGGGTGACAGCATGGTCAAGGGCAGCCTGCCCTCTGTGCCGTGGGGCTCTATGGGAGTCATCAAGCCAGCTGTCCTCCATGACCCTCCATGGATCTGGGGTTGTTGTCATCCACTGATTCCATCTGCCTCCATTGCTGGTCTGGCAGGTGTGTGTGTGTGTGTGTGTGTGTGTGTGTGTGTGTGTGTGTGTGTATGCACTTTGGGCACCCATATAGCCCCTGTAGATGCTTAGTGAATATTTATGAACTAATGAAGCATCTTTGGGGCTTGGCTGAGAGCCTTGACACAGGCTTAGGGATGGGCTGATTTGTATTGTGACCATTCTACTCTGCCATTTCTCCTTCATCAGATCCTTCCTGGATACGAGCCAGGTGCCTTGTCCTAGGCTGAGCTACCGATGCTGTCTCCCACAGGGTGCATGTGGCTCTGTCCTGAGTGGAGCTTATTCTTGTAAGGTCTCATCTCACTGCTCTTCATTGACCAGACACCCCCAGTGTGCCAGGGATGCAGAGTTCATGCCTGGAGCTCAGCCCGTAGGCACCATGAGGTCATCTTCCCATTGCATTTGGCTTGTCGGACCCTCTATAAATGACTGTGTCCATTTTTGGGCCTCAGAAGGGTGGCTGGGCAAAGCCAATTTAGGGTGGAGCCTGGGTCAAATGACGGAGAGGATTAGAGGTTGGCAGTCTGCCCCTTGGGGGATGGGGTGGCTGGGGAGAAGGACAGCTGGGGTGGGGGTGGACTCTGGCCTGCTGGCCCCTGAAGGTCTTCAGCCGGGGAGTCCTGGTGGAGAGTATGTGAGGAGGCTGAGTCTTGTTCTGGTGGATCTGGGCAGTGATGAGGACAGGAAGAAAGCCCTGTCGGGATGGGAGTGTGCACCCTGTGGCTGACCAGCCATGAGCATGCCGGGAGCAGTGCAGGATGGACAGTGGGGAGCACCAGCTGGGAGGGGGACACAGTGCTTCCAGGCCAAGCAGACGCTCCCTGAAGGTAGGGGCAGCAGTGGTTATTTATAGGATCCTGATGCTTGGCTGCACATGCTACCATGTTCCCCTCCATGGTCCCCCATGAGATAGTCATGTCAGTCTCACAGCAAGAGCTGGGCCTGTACACTAAGTCCATTCTTGAAGGTACCTTAGGAGTAGCCACACTACACTGAAAATTGGGTGCACAAGGGGCCTGTGGGGAGCAGGAGGACCTTGGTCACTCAGCCTGTGTTACAGAGCTAGGAGCCCATGAGGGTGCTGCTTTTGCACAAGCCTCTCCCCCTTCCCAGGCCCCAACCCAGAGGACCTGCTCCCTCCACCCATATGCCACCATCCTGGTGTCCACCACTGCCTGAGTGTCTAAGGCCTTTTCCTTGCTCCCCACCCCTGGTTGTCTTTTGCTCTGCTTCTCCCTCTTCCTGCGCTGGGCCTCTTCCCTCTGGCTTATCCAGGCCTCTGCTGCACCTTCCAGCCTTGGATTAGATTCCCAGTTATTTATGTCTAAGGTTCATCGCCCTAGAAGAGAGGGCTCGGAGCCTGCATCCTGACCGGGTGTGTAGGGGACTGTGTGGGCATTGGCACGGGGAGGTTGGGAGTGAGGCTGGTGGACCTCCATGAGACTCCGCAGGCCTGGGGCCTCCATGCAGTCTGCTGGCTTGGGGCAGGGCATGAGCCAGGCTGACTGCTTTGTGTAGAGGCAGCTGAAGGGAGGATTGCTGGGAAGGAGAGGGGGTGCAGGGGCCGCAGGTACAGGCCAAGGTGTGGAGGAGTGCGGACTGTGAAGATACCCACTCCCCAGAAGAGCCGGGCTGGCTGAATGGGACATTTGGGCCGAATTTGATCAAGTTTTGAATCCTGGGAAATCTGCGTACCCCTGGGATTCGGCGGAGCCTGGCCTGACTGCTTCCCCTCCCTTTCCTCACAGATGGCCCCCTTGGAGTGTTTTCTTACTTTTGCTCTCTGGCCCCTAACCAAGCTTTTGCTCCGGGACTGGGAAGTCTGGGTGCCGCACGTTCCTTGTGTTGTGTGGGCTGGACAGAGGAGAATCTTCAGCCTGCTGTAACCCGGGGCTTTTGCCATGAGGTGCCCCCCCCCCGCCCCCCCGGCCCGCCGTGTCAGGCCTTCTGTCAGGCATGATACCATGTGAATGATGGCAGAGAGGGCATGGGCTTGGGGGACCCCATTGGCTTTGGACTGGGCAAGTGGCTGGGCCTTCCCAAGCCCCTTTTCTTCTCGTATAAACAGAATGATGATCGTTCGTCTTCCCATGTGTGCTGCTGAAAGTAAAGCTTTTGGCAGGTGTGTGGTTCATAGCAAATGCTCATTGAACGCTGGCTCCGTGAGCGGCCGGCACTGCTGAGCCCTGGTGGGAAGCCTTCCATTCCCA